GAGCGATCTCTGAGGAAAGCGTTATGGAATGACAGCCACCACGGCCACATACACACACATCCGGAGGAACGGTCCACGGGGAGCAATTTGACAAATTGTCCCGATCATAGAACTAGAAAATAGCCGGCGAAATGTGGAGTGTGCCGGGACACATCGAAACACATGAAACGTCAGAAATAATGGCCGTATTAGCGACGTTTGACAAGTTTCACCCGAAGAAGACAACGCACTAACTGGAAAAAATTACGTAACAACAACGGTGGGAGCTGTTCCACTACAAGTAGCAGTGGAGAGTTTTACCTGTAGCATTTACAGGGTTTCAGCCAACAACCCGCCCCCCCCCGCCCAACCAGGAAATATTTTATCGAATAACTTCAATAATAGTGAAATCTATACAGCTGATAAAAGGGCGGTAAATATTATGCGGGAATGTGCAGCGATCGCAGCATGACGATGAGAGCGACACAAAAATCAATAGATAACCAAATTATTTACTAAATAATAAAAAATTACAGCCTAATAAGAAATGTATAAAGTAAGAATGCGCTGTGAAACAATATCACACGCGACCAATATAGTCATTATAACATTGAGAAAATTTAAATAAGAGATAATTGAAAAAGTGCACACCTCAAATTTTCAGAAGGGTTATTGAATTAGAACGAATTGTTTCTATAGTGGACTATGGCTGCTCTTATAAAGCCCCCTTCACAACTACTAAGAGACGCAACTATTCATCAGCCCATTCATTCAGCTTAATAGGACAATACAGTAAGAGTACTAGTAAAACTTCAACTAGACGCTGAATGAGTCACAAGTTTTTCATGAAAAACCGGAAGAAAACTGATGAGAAATCATCATTTATGAATCATTGAAAGACGCTTGAACGGCTACAATATATGTGATTTTGAAGAAGAATCAATCAATAGTCGATAGTTAAGCGTTGGTAGATCAAAAAGAGCTAGATATTACTAGGCGGTAATAAAAATGTCCATCAACAAAATGCAAAACGTCAAACAATACGCTGGAATTAATTCCGTTTCACGCAGGCACGTCAAAATGATCGATATCAGTACTGATTGCGCTCCAGCCGTATTGATTACTCAACTATAGTTCATAATTTTTCGTCAGAGTTTGAAGAATCAGGAGGTCTGATATGAGGGTTATGTAGAAGATCTCGTAATATCCTGGAGATGGCCATCCAGGAGGTCTTCTGTGTTTGGTCGTGGCCACGTTTCGAGTGGGCTGGCCTAGACTTGAGCGCGGGAATTACGACATTCAAGTGGAATCATATGAAAGAGCGCAGTGTTCTCGAGAACCATTGGCGCTCACATTGGCGAAAACGCCAAAAACGGAAGCGGTCATATCCAGTCATGGCGGCGGTCATGGCCGTTGCAGCCGCCACCCACCCCGTCGCCCGCCACTGTCACCATCCAGCCGTACACTGCGATGCAGCGCTTCCCACACACTGAATCATTTTGAATGAGTTCGTTCGATCGTCGAAAAAAAAACTGACTTCAAGAAATAAGCGGCACATGTTGAAGTCCCGGTCGGCCCACATTCCTTTCATATGTGGATTCACTTGCGCCATTGTTTTTCAGCTATGGCGCCTCGCCGAAAGAATTTCAATAGCAAGATTCATAGTGGGTAGCGGCGGCCGCATTGTGAAAACAGGAATTCTATTGCGGTCCTTCCAATAGCCTAATGATCTATAAAGTCATGCGCTATTGAAATATTCAACGGTAAATCATTGACAAATACATCAGATGTTTTTACGAGGTAGTATACAAAAACAAAGTCTATTATCTGTGAGAGCGTGACTGGATGATGAAGTGTTTTACCGGGGTAAAACGTCTACAGAAATCAACTACTCTGTCCTATAAGGCAAGTTACCCGGGTAGAGATTCGTGTACTCCAGAAATATGGAGTAATGCGTTTCATCGCTTTAACAACCTGAAAGTTCCATATCCGAAACGGGCGCCTGGTAAGCAGCGCCACTTGCCACTACACCATTTCTGCCCTTCTATGACATTAGGTTTGATAGATAACTTTCCCATCTGGACAGTAATAAAATAAATTCAATTCTATACTGAACAAAATAATATAGCTGGTTTACTAAATTTGATAACATTCCTAGAATTTACATTGCATTTCTAGATGCGCCATGCGCGCAACTAGAAGTCAGAATCGTGGAGGTGATTGGAGGGTGTGACAGGAAGAAAAGGAGGAAAGAGAGATGCAATAAACTCGAACAAAAGATGAGGTCTTATATAACATTGCTCCATTACTAACACAAGGTATTCCGGGGCAGGCGAATAGAATGTTATTGGACTAATGCGCGTGTCAGGAGGTCTGTAATACATGTACT